TTGGGAAGACAAAGCCGGAAATTCGAGAAAAATCGGCCGTGTTTACATCCGGTTTCAAGCATTCAAAATGGTGCCGCCAATTGAGACTGCCGCCGACTGTGAAGTGCGCGCTGTAATTAGATTTTTAAGAGCTTAAGGTGTGAAAGCCATTAAAAATAATCGACAGGTTAGTGAAGTGTATGGCGAGAACATTATGAGTGTCATAATTGTATGCAAGTGGATATGGGAATTGAAATACGGTACCCCGAACGTTCATGATGAGTAACGCACTGTGCGGCGTCATTACTGTCCCCATACTCATGATGACAACCTGTGCGTTGCTCATCATGAACGTTGGTGGGGCCGTCTTAATATGTCCTTACCTACTTGCGTACCATTCCGTCACTCATAATGTTCTCGCCATACACTTCACTAATCTGTCGATGATATTCAATAGCTTTCACACCTTTAGCTCTTAAAAATCTAATTACAGCACTCACTTCACAGTCGGCGGCAGTCTCAATTGGCGGCACCATTTTGAATGCTCGAAACCGGATGTGAACACGGCCGATTTTTCTCGAATTTCCGGCTATGTCTTACCAATAGATGCACATACACAGCGCAAATGTTGAAAATGCCAATCGCAGTGCTGGAACGAAGAAATTTAAAAACGGTCCTTACTTAAAAAACGTGCCTAGTATTTTAGAATGATTTAGTAACGGATGGATTTTCAGCAAACTTTACCATGGCTGTTTAGGACTCATAACATTATTTTCCATGACAGGCATTGCTGACAGTATACTGACTGTTTTTGGCATATTTCTTGGCCAGTCACATCAGCCTCCTTCATATGCTTTTGGGCAAAGAATAATTCTGAGCTGGTCCATCTTCAGGTAATCTGGATTTTAAATCAAGACTCTGAATTTCGATCAAATAAGAGAAGACATTGTGGGATGTATGTGGATAAGTGACCTGAAATTCAATTATGAGTTTTCATTACAAAGAGCAAAAGTAATTTTTGTGTGTGTAAAAATATGTGTTTTGAACAAAACAAAGCCCAGCACATTAAAAGTAGGGTTCTAGAATTTAGTGCCGGTTAGGAAGACTAAAATAGTTCATTGTCTCAAAACCATTCAAATTCTCGAAAGTATGCATTGTGAGCTTTAAATTTTACTCTATTCCTCTAGATTGAACCAAAATGTACCTGGGAGAAGATTTCATACTTTCAGCACAAAAGCAGCCCCTTTTTTCAACTTGCTCGATCTAAAACAACCATGTGTTCAAATTAAAACTATCTTTAGTGTCAGCTATAAATATTATAACAAATACCGTTAACCTAAACAAAAAATTTAGAATGTTTATTTTCTTCAGCTACTTTATGGCTTCTATCCTCAATAACATGATGATATCTGGTTTGATGGTTCCCCACCAAGCTGAGAAGATAGACACAGTCAAGGACTTTGTCCAGGCAGGTTATCTTTGGGGCGAAGAGGCGTACAGTAACTTTCAACAAGAAGTATACTTTGACTTGGAGGTAAAGGATGCATTGATGTTTTAATGTTAATTGCCATGGTGTTGTAAATTTTTGTTTTGGTCATTAATATCATGTGTCTTTGAGCTACCGGACAAAGGCAGACTCTTGGGGTATTAAGAAAAACTTACCTGGTTTGAGAAAATTGGCTCAATGTTTAGCTAAGGACTTAGCTAAGGGTTTTACAATTATTTTAGTATCAAAAACACATTTATCTCTACAATGGTTTTTATGTATTTTGCCATCCCAGTATCAAGAACTTGAATTAGATTTAGACCCAGGTGAAAACAACATAGGTAAATCTAATGTGCCTAATGTATTATGTTTAGATAGTTGCAAGTTCTAAACAACCGCCCATTCCCATGATAGTCAGTTAAAAGAGTTTGTACATAATCAAGCTTTTTTTTTCAAATTGATAAAATAAAATTATTACCTTATCCAAACACAGTTGTTGGTATGACGACTAGTTCCTTAGAACCTCATCAGATCATTTTGTATGCAATATGCAATGTATTAATACATTGTGGTATGTCAATAAATTCTTTAAAAAACTGTCACAATCACAATAATTGAAACTTGTCATGTTGATAAAATAGTTAAAATGAAATAAAAGTTGTTAAAACTGATTAAAACAGTACAGGCTTGCCAGCACTGTCTTATCACTGCCACTGACTAAATAAAACCAGAACTAGAATAGACCATGGTAGTCTATTGTCTGTGATAAAACTGACTGAAACATGATGTTTCTTCTTCTCTCCTGCAGTGCCACACCTGTATTTCAGTTTGTTTTGTTCTTCTTATTTTATACTTCTTTGATTTGTTATTGTTACTTGTCAATATACTATCAAATATAATACTTGACTGGAAAGAAGTCTTATCATTTAAAATGTTACATCGGTCGAGTTGTTTAGCTTTGTAGATGGTGAATTCTTCATTAACACCAAGTTTAAAACTATTTCTATGTTCTTATCAATAGATATAGTTGTGTGATTCTGATATTAAATGTTCTGCACAACTGTATTGCTAATGTTGTGATCTTTTAGGTATATGTTCGATAAATCGTTGTTTGAAAGATCTTCCAGTTTGGCAGATGTGATGTAGTACTTTGGACAGTTGTCAGTCACATTTAATTCTATAGATAGGTAAAAAAACCTGATTTTTCACAGTTGTTTCTAGCGATGTAGGCTTAGGCGTGGAAAAACTGTTGAAGTGTGTTGTTTACAGAATGTGCGACTGTCGTATTGTTTCTATTAAATGTTTTGGTAATGGCGTTGTTGATTTTTCCATTAAATGTATTCTCAGACTTTTCTTTGTTGGTGTTCATATTGTTCAGTTTTTAAATTTTTATTATGGTATCAATCATTTGATGTTTGTACCCGTTTACTCTGGTGATATGCTTGATAGTGAATTATTCCTTTTTATAAGCTTCTTGGCTCAAAGGGTACGATAATAGTCCTTGAACCATGGAGTTATAAGCTGCAAGGTTACGGCATGTGTTTTTTTCAAAATATCAATCTTAGGTTGATTTCCAACATGTCTTATAACTTTTGATTTTAAACAATATTGCTTAATTTTTCAGAATCCATGGCATAAGAAAATGGAGCAAAAATTTCAGGCAATACCAAGTAGGAAGATGCCAGCTGCCTTGAAATCTCACAAAATAGCATTTCCAGCTCAGCGTTTGGGCCAAGAGTATGTCTTCATTGTTCAGCGGAGCATCAACCGATCGGACGTCAGCATGTTTCGTCTCATGAAAGAGCCGGTGAATCAATTTTATGTATCTATGATTTTCAGCAAATTATCTCCGATTCTAGAAATAAGTCAATATCCTCTGCTTCGTTTCTTTGAAACCGGACTCATTTTACATTGGAAAAATGAAGTGATTCGTAACTATGGCTCGCCGGAAGCGGCTCGCTTACTATCCGAGCCTTCTGGTGAGTCTTTGAGCGAGTTCGAGCCACTAACAATCGACAATAACTTGGCTGCTTTCCAAATATTACTCTACGGTTTGTGTGGGTCACTTGCTGTATTTAGTCTAGAACTGTTTAGCAGGAAAAAATCAAGAGTACGAATGTTGAAAAAGGAAAAAAGAACAGATTTATTTGAACCATATTTTTACTGTGAGTAAATTTCAACAGTTAAAACGTAAAATAGTGTTGTATTTCTGTGGAGATTTTACATTATAGTTCAAATTTCTGAATTTACTTGTACAGTATCAAATGTTGTCAACATTGAATTTATTGCAATATAGACAAATGGAATAAATGTTGTGGAGCCTATGTGTAATTTGTTTTGTTTAAGTACTATAAAGCTACCCAGGCAGGTTGATAAGTTCACATATTATTGTTATTGTGTCACATATTTTATGTCATATATTATGTCACATATTATGTTGACAAGACATATTATTGTTATTATGTCTTGTTTATTATGTATCGTATGCATCTTGTGTCTCATTTTCAGTTGTATCTCTTTGCTCGTTAACCATCTGTACTTTTACTTGCAATGCTAGCTTCTTTCTTTTTTTGGTTTGTCCAGAGCCTGATTTTTACTCACTATTGTATGGCACTATTTATTAATATTATTACATGTCTCTCTATTATGATTTGTATGCATATTGTTTCTCTTTCAGTATTATTATTATGCCTTTCGCACTTTACCTGATATCCTCTTGCATATCTTTTTGTAATGCTAGCTTCTTTTGTTCATAGTCCACCTGTTACTAATTTTGTTTGTTCTATTCAGTAGTATTACTATCCTTATGCATCTTGTATTCACCTATTGTATTATTTAGTATTTATTATTGCTTGTTGTATTATTTAGTATTTATTATTGCTTGTTATCTCCCGTATGTAATGGCATTATTGTACAATGGCTTCTGCCGTGAATAAACGAATTGAATTGAATTGATAAGACACATTAAAAAATATTGGAGAATCATTACTCAGTCGATTTCTTTCAAAAACATTACCATTTTTTAAATATTTTGTAGGGATATGCCTTATTTAATATGGTTGAGTAATATGTCCATTTAGCGTAAAATGTATGTTAACTCTTATTAGGCCTAGGAAGAGGCTAGAACTTAAAAAAAACTTACAAACTAAAAAAAATCTACCGTGTTAGAAAATTCCAAAGTTCCATGACTGATCGGTCCCTTTAAACTGAAAGGAATTAATTCTTTAAAAACACTACAATTTTTTGAACCCCTGGGGGAAAAGGCTAAGTCTTAGTGTTTTTCACCAAACCTATCCCGCCAGTGGCATTAATTAACGGTTTTTTGTAAGTTGACGTTCCAAACCCTGGTCTTGTTACTATCTACCATTTGTTAGAAATCATCATTAAATTTATAGCCCTATTATTGGCATTTGGGTCTGGTAAAGATCTCACTAGTAATAGAACCAGCGACCTTCAGATTGGAAGGCGAGCACTACAATCTTGTTGGCTACCAGACAACTAAAAGAGGAAGATGTAAAAAAAGGAAAACAAGGGGTTGATTTAATTATGTTTATTATATACATTATAAAACACTATTACTGTACTGAAGTATTACATATTTACAACTACTCTATATCACAGGCAAAACAGTTAGGCTAATTTCCATACAGTCTGTACAAAGTTCACAATCAACATTCTCGGACACAAGAAACACTTATGTCGGGGCGAAAGTAAGATCAAGTCCTCGTCTTTAACTACAAAAATTATACAACAAAACAGATGGTAGCAGTGACTTTGGATTTCGACAGCAATATCAGAAATACATATTTCAAAGGTTTATCGAATTGATAAAATAAGCCATTATCTACCAATAACACATATTTGTTTGATTTAGCTCACTACAAGTACTTTCTCTCATGAAAAACCTCTGATTTTAAAACATCAGATATTCTAAACTACCAGAGAATCTTAATAGTTATGGAACAATACTTAGTTGTGCAGTCTTACTTGGAACATACATAATTTAGTTATTCCTTCACTTGGATTCCTTCGTAGCACTAATAACCTAAACAGTAAAACAGGTAATCTCTTTTCAAGGATAGTTTCTTTTGGTTTAACTAGTGGTTCTTGTATTCCAAACTGTGCCTTTAATGATGATAAAAATTAGTAACTGATTTCTAATAAATTAATGAGTTAAAATATATGGAGGCAACGCTAAGACAACAGTATGTTTTGTTCAATTCTAGATTCAGGTATGGCTATATTTGAAGTAGCTACATTCACCACAAAAATAAGATTTGTGTGAAAGATTAGAGATGGGCGTTATTTAACATAACAGGATGAATAACAGTGTTGCGGCCGCGGCAACACGTTGCGGAGAACTCCCTGTTATTCTAATAACGTATCTATCTACACCATATTGCAGGACAGCCGCACGGACAACGAAAACGAAAACATGCGCTGCCGTTAGTGCCGTTGCCGCAACACTACCAGAGCAACGATAACTTCGGAAACAAACTAGAATTAGAATAACACATCCTGTCTGGACAACGCCCGACTACCGACTACAATTGAAAACTGAACTGATGAACCGCCAATGATAACTGAACGCCGCAACACCGACCGGCGGACAATGGTTTTTAGCGGCAACAAGTTGGCAATCGTTATTAAAATAACAGATTGCCTCAACACGTTATTGGGCAGCTGCGTTATCGTTACAACCGTTGCTGGAAAACAACGATAATTCCCATCTCTATGAAAGATGCTTGAGGTTCATCCAGGTCATTATTTAAGAATTTATTTAATTTTAAGTTATAGTACAAAGTCTGCTACTTCATAGGTCATTACCGCTATGAAGGTCTCCAGGTTTATTTACCACCGTAGTTGGTGACAGTCTGTATTAACATAGTTTGCTTATTTGGTAACTAAATGGCACATTATTTCACGTCAGTTGAAAACTTCTTCCGATGGATAAATCATTGCGCCAGTCTCATGTGGGGATTCGGTTGGTACATCACATTCTGAAACAAAAATCATACAAAAGAAGTTATTAAAAAAATACAAATATTTACTATGGAAGATGTGGGTTGTCCATAGAGTTTTCCAACGAGCTCCAGTACTAGCTATCTTAGTTCAAATCTAACACCAGCAACGGGTTATTTACTTCTTCTATTAATCTAGTCGGTTTCGATCCTTATGTGAGGATTGGTAACCGTAGTATTTGATAACGATATGAATAGGATATATGAGAAACGAATTGAAAAATAGAAAAATAGTATAAACGTAAAAATGTGCAAAGGTGCATAAGTGGAGAGTTTAAGGAGTATTGGGACTGGCAACAATTTTAGTCTGGGGGACCAAGAACATGGTGCTGTTGTCAATTTTTTACTAGTTTGGTTGTCTGTGACTAGAACTCTTCAGGAACCTTATTTAATTACAAATTACGTTTTTACAAATTACGTTTTTAACAATTCAGACAATTAGCTGTTAGAAAGGGACAGCTGTAATTGTGTAAAAGACTGTATATTATACTTACTGCGGACTAGTGAGAAGAGATACACTCTGAGCAGGTTTGTGCATATTGACAGGATATTTCACTACACGAACAACAGCTGTTACTGCTGTTAGACCTGCCGCCTTCCCCCACCACTTCTCCATAGTCGCTGTAGTCGTGGCAGTCGCCTGCACAAGGGAAACCAATCATTGTACATAGATCCATTATAGGTACAGGGTGTATTTTACGACAAAACAAGCTTATATGCAGCTATCCCTGTTTTCTTCACTGACGATCAGCTGATATGCATTGTTGCATAATTCTATGAGGTTTAGTGTTATTGAGAATTTATTTAAAGTAAGTCTTAACATGGTGTTGTACAATCACATGCCAAGAATTTTAGCCGAAATGTGCATAATTGAAGACGAAACTTGGACCGTACAGCGACAACAGGTAATATAATCTTTTTATTTGACAAAATAATTGGTCAGGATTCAGGAAACACTACAACAAAAAATTATGAGCTTCTAGCTTCAAAAATATCTCGAGATTTTAGAAATACTAGCTGAAAAACAGAAATATAAATTTCTTTTACCTACGACCGTTTTTTAAAGTAGCCATTTCAGTCAAGTTCTTAGAATTGAAAAGTTTCACTTTACAGCTGTTTACTTTCATATCCGCATAGTTTCATTTCATATCCGCATAGTTTTCTCATATCCACACAGGTAACGGACCAATGAGGTTCAAGTATTGAGAGAAAAGAATTAAAATTGTAATGCTTCGAACGTCAACTAATCAGCTGATCAGCTGATCAGTTGACCAATTTAATTGTTGATCCGACTTGTTCATGTTGATACTCGCGTATTCTTAATTAAGTTGGTGGAAGTCCAAAAATAAATTAAATATTTGCCGAATTGTACCTGATACAATATTATTTATGGTAAGAATGCTGCTAGCAATGTAATATTTAACGAAGTTTAACAAACACGTAATTACAGGAAATCAGCTGATTATACAACAAGTCGTTGCATCACTTTCAGTGGCAATGACAATACACCAAAACATAACCTCTCTAAAAAGTTATCATTAGTGATTGTTAGTAATTAAATCCAGATTGATAGTAATTAAAAAACGGTCGTAGGTAAAGTAGTGTACGCAACTCGCGTTAATAGTCTTTACGCAATCGTTGCGTAAACTACTATTTTCTTGATTAAGTATGAAGGTTCAGGTTTCAAATATTAGTCAAAAATACAGTTGGCATACAGTAAAATTCAAAGATTTGTTTTGTGTTTAAAATGAAGAAAGACCATAAAGTTTCTAAATAAAAGTAATCATAGTTACCATTAGGAATATGTCTGTCCATGGAGGACTGGAAACCTCTCTGCTTGTTATGACAGCTTCCGTCACAGCTGTTCTGGTCCTGTCTGAAACTGAAGAATATTCTATGTTACAATCGCCGTACACTGCTGACCAGTTGAATAAAAAAAAACCATAAGCACTATAACCACTCATAAGCTATATGCCTTACACTATTAAATAATAACACAACTCCTCAGAGTCCTAATATGGAAAAAATTTGACTTACTAGTGGACTCACAATATGTTTTGGTTTGATGAACTTAATAACCTATTTTTCGTCATACTGCAGGAAAAAAAGCCGTTTTTAATGCATGCGTTGCGGGTCTAAATCAGCATTTTTAGTCTTTAGGGAGTAAAAATAAGCTGTTGTAAATTTTAATTGTTGCAATCGTATCGATAAACATTATTTATCGATTGATTTATTAGGTAAGGTTTTACCCTATTGTTGTCGATTGCTCGACATATGGATGGTATAATAACACAATCCCAATAGACAAAATAACTGAATCACTTACTAAACAGCTGCTTATTTGCAATAGCAGTATTGAAAAAAAGCTGGAGGTTATCTTTACATACATATGATTTTGTTTTCTAGCTTTGTTTTTGTTAATTAATGATGCAATATAACAAAATAGTTCTGTAATAGTTCTCGACACGGGCCTAAAGTGACTTTTTAACCCTCACTCATTTTCCTAAAAACTTGCCCTTAGATCAAAAAGAGTCACTTTATGCCCTAGTGATGAATTTTCTCTGTTCATCATGCTGTATAAAAAAAACAGCTGCTTATAATACATGCATTGCTGGTCTAAAGTAGCTGTTTTTCTCCCTAGGGATTTTAAAAATAAATCAATAGTAGGCTTTCTATCAACAGTATGACACAAACACGATTATTATTGAAATAGACAACAAATATTTAATAATCAATACCTTACTATCCACTAAACAGCTGTTTGTTCATAATGAATTGCAAGATTGAAAACAAGATGGAAGTAGTTTTGGGGGCTTATCTTCACATAACAAGTACTTTGGTTTTGTAAAGTTTGCTTAAAAAGTGGTGCAATATGACAAAAAGTATAGTTCATCACACGGGCAACCATCACTCATTTTCGAGGATCATTTCCGAGAGCTCCGCCTCGGTCGTTAAACTTGATCTCGAGTTAAAAAGAATCACTTTACGCCCTAGTGAAGAAATAACCTATTATGCACCCATTTCCCTGAACTCACCTGGGCAGTTGGTTGGGGTGTCGATGGATGACAGTGCAGTGATGTTGGTTGTGGTTGGTTTGTTGATGGTATTTGCAAGAACTCCCACCACTACTGCCAGTGTGATAGCCTGATTGGAAACTCGGCACCTACACAAAATACTTGTTACTTCAAACTGTCTAGTTCATTTCACATTTATAAACTCACATTAAACAATCGATAATGTTTCTGAAAGTTGATCAACTTTGTTCAGCAGTTTATATGGATTGAAGGAAGTACCGGGGATTTTGAAATAAACCATATTACCAAACTGAAACATACTTCCTCCCATTAATTTAATTACAGTAGACTCCCTCTTATCCGGACTACTCGGGACCGAGGCCAGTCCGGATAACGGGTTTTCCGGTTAAACCGGCGTCCCGAAAATCTTGTTAAAACGGACCGTTTAAATGCATACTCTACTCAGTATTTGACTTAAATTTAGGAGAGTATTGTATTTAGACACGTAATCACTGGTCTCAAATCTTTCCCACAAGAACAGTAGTTTCAGTACCGCCCACTTCCTGCCAATTTAGTCTAGTTAAACCGATGTGCTGATAAAAAATATCTGGATAAAGAGATGTCACTTCTACCGAGTGTAGTCCGGTTAAACCGATGTCCGGTTAACAGGTGTCCGGATAAGAGGGAGTCTACAGTACCACGGACTTCTCTTGCAACCAATGTCTAAACGATACGATTACACAATTTTAGATGATGAAATTGACAAAATGTCTCCTTATGCTTATCACATTATTACCACACAATTAGAAAGATTTTCAATATGACAAGGCTTGATATGAGTTAAGGAATGCCCTGACACTAAGATGGTACAATATTTAAAACAGCAACCAATCCAAAGCAGTTTTATAGGCAGCAAAGATGAAAAGAATTCAAGCCTTCTGAAAAATGCAAAGCTGGTATTTTGAAACAATAATATGCCCATTCATTTTTACTTGTGTCTTGACAGCAGTTTAGGCATATATACTTACTGGAGGGGGATGATCATGTGGTGGGGCCCGATGGTGGGGGCCATTGGTGGTGGCCGATGGTGGGGGCCGATGGTGGGGGTAAATAGCGGTAGAGGGGGTTGAGTTTCCTCCACCTAGACTCCTCTTGCACATTTGGGGGCTGCCACAACCCTAAAAACATAATTATGTGATCAAGATGACATAAAGAAAAACCCCTACACTTAGCAAGAAATTACTGTGAGCAAATTATAATTAAAAGAAGTTTTGTTTCAAAAATGTGTGTAGGTACATTTGGTACTATTTCCTGCTTTATCCATGAAATAATTGAATATCTCTGACAAACAACACTGCAAATGACATATTTTGTGAAATTAAAATATTTAAAGAACAATAATGCTGACAATTTTTTTTATAACATTGGTTGGTAGCTCTTACCAGCTATTGAATGTGCAAAACTGGCTTTATTCACATTGGCACGGCCAGAATGATTATTTTCTGTAAATAAATGTTCACTTTTGTTACTTTGCCACGTTTTTTGGTGGAGCTATTCAATTATGTAAGCAATACAAACACAGTAATAATTTATGGAATGTACGTTTTATTTGATTAAAATTCTGTGAAGTCTTATTTAGTAAGTGTTTGCAGCGTACCTGGATGGACGGCCGAGGGGGAGGGGGGTGTTGCGGTGGAGGTGGAAGTATTTCACTCCAGTTGGGTTGTTGACAGTTGCCCTTCTCTACCGGGTAGTACGAGTAAAGTCCCGTCTCATCTGGCAATAACAAAGAACAATTTACTTTTAGTGAAACTGAAATATTTTCTTTATAAGACTTGCATGAAGCACTTTTAGTTGGTTAGTAAATAGGATTTGAATCCAACTAAGCTGTAAAAAAAAAAACTTAAGTGAATAAAATGATTTTTTAAAGAGGAATCCAGTTCAGCTACCTTACCTGAGAAAATTAGTCAGGGGCTAATACCCTAATACAAACACAATAAAAAACACAAATCATAACACTGGTATTTTGTTCTGACGTATGACTATTTCAGAGGGTACGGTTGTTGTGAAGTAAAAAAATTATAAAATCAAAATATTTTTTTTTCTCTTCAACTTATTCTTTGACGAATTACTACTTCAGGACCATATCTCTGTTGTATTTGAGTTCTTTGATTGTGTATCTATTAGCAACTAGACTCTTAATTTTCTCAGACAGGCTAGCTGAACTCTATTCCGTTTCAAAAACCCTTACTAGCTAATTGGATTTCCTTTGAAATAATGAATAAAAGTTACTCACCACCAAGATCTTTATGTTTGGTCCACGAATCGCCAGAGTTGGGCGTTTTTGTGCTGGACGATGAACTAACAGCAATGGGCACTACAAGAGGACCAGTCTCCTGAAAAATCATAAAAATTAGCTGTTGTTTGGTAGATTTTCAAATTAACTGAATAAGATTCTGTGATGATATTTGCATACAGTTTAACACTTTAAGCTCTAAGCTCGAGTTAAGCTTGGGGCTTCGCGAATTGCTTAGTTCGTCGAATCTAACCTGCAAGCGCTAGTGTCAACATGTTCTTATAGTTTCTGTCCTCCCGGTCAACCAACTTTGGTATGGTAGCTGAGTTGGCTAAGACATTGTACTGACAAATTCAGCGTTGAGGTCATTCTAAACCCGCAGGTTAAGATCTCGTATGCATGCAATCCATCCTTAAGCTTACTAAAGTGTGGCTTGGTCTGAATATAACAAAATCAATGTATGACTCCATAATTAGCATGTTTGCTCAATTCCATCCTAAACCTAGAGAAGAGTGTTTGATCAGTATAGACTAACCAAAACAAGTAGACTTCTCATACCATTGTAAATTTTGAAGATAATTTTTTGTGCCTAGTTCATGTACACTGGGCGCTAGTATCAAAAACATTTTGTTTCTATTATTTTAAGGGTAATTTCATGATTTGAGCTTTACTGTTTGGTTATATAACTAGGAAACGAGTAGTTGTTAATGAGTAGATTGTATTATTTAGTTAAACAATGTTTTAAATTACTAAAACAACAAGAAAAAATTGTAAACAAAACACAACCTCTACAGTGGACCTTACAGAACTAACAATAAAATTGGCTTCAGCTGTTCCACAAGGATGAGAAATCTACTTAGGGAGTATGTATCTATGTCAGTACCGGTATCCTTATTGGTTGTAATACTCACACTGCAAGTATCCTGACGGTTGGGCACCAGTATGGTTGTGGCGTACGGCGTGAGAGTCTCCTTGCGGTTGTGATGGTTGTAGAAGCTAGACAGATTCTGCGTGTTGACCTCTGCGTAGTCACTACTCTCCAGGGTCAGCTGTTTACGGTGCATATCGTGAGGGACTTCGATCCACAACGCCTCCTTCACACCTCCCAGTTCTGTGCCGTTCACTACTGGTGCTGGGAAACAAGCAGAAAACATTACAACTGTAGCAAACATGACTTTAATTGGAAAAGAACCAGAAAAAGTAACATTACAGATGAGTTATTGTTATTGTGTTTAGCCATGGAAATATTTACGAAAAATGTGAAAGGTTCCAAACAAGTACAAATTAGTTTATTGATTATGTGACTCTATTTTGGCTCCTTTTCCGATTTTTTTCCATTTCCTGACATGGCAAATTACTACACCCAACACTTAAAGGATATGAGAGTTTGTTCTAGTCAAGGTTTGGAAAAATTGGACCTTTGGAAAACCTAGTGACTGTTGAAAAAATGGGACAGGCCCCTCCCCTCAGGATTAACACAGAACATAAACATGCAAAAGGGGTCAAGACTGTCTCAAAAGAATTAGAACAAGTGGCAACCTTGGTCTACGACAGGAATGATTCACATGTTCCACATATTTATATTATTGAGAGTGCACACAAATTTTAATAGGTAGCAACTTATCATCATGAATGTTCCAAATGGATATATTTGTAGGCCTACCTGGTATATGTTTTGCCATAGCCTGTCTCTTACGCAGATAGAATGTAGCGGCAAATGCAGTTACCAATACGACAGCTGTGGCGGCCACCAATAGAATCAACCACAAATTAGGTGCTGGAACTGGTGTGAAGTGAAGTGCTGGAGTATGACGTAGACTTGCGGTTGCCCCTGGACCTGTTATAAGGATTATGTTACGATTACTAACAGGTTATCAGAGTACATGGTCTCGTTACATGTAATATTTATTTAACTGTTGGCGCAATAAAAATGAAGACATTTTGTGATGAATGTAAAAACAATTATTTTTAGTTTAGTTTACACACTTGACGATTGAGTCATCTCGAAACGGCAGTAGTGCAACAATAAATTTGGATTGCGAAGAAAGTAACCAATATCTATATCAAACAATACAGTAGACTAGACTCCCTCTTATCCGGACTCCTCGGGACAGAGGCCAGTCCGGATAGTGGGTTTTCTGGTTAAACCGACGTCCCCAAAAACGGAACGTTTACTGTGATATTTGACTTAAATTTAGGAGATCATTGTATTTAGACACGTGATCACTGGTCTCAAATCTTTCTCATGAGAACAGTCGTTTCAGTACCGCCAGTAAGTAGCGCAATCTGTGACTAGCTCATAAAACTATATTCTTTGGGGGGGGGGGGGGGGGGAATTAGCGACACAGCAGGTCTATTTAGATTAATTGTCTACTTCAGTAAATAAGAGGAAATTATGGTGCTGTGTTGCATAGTTTCCTATGTGACTTGTCTGAATGATTTTGTACGATTAGGTATAAATCAATTACCAGCTCCGACGGTGGTAAAAGCCTTGACCGTAGCCGAGTACGTCCGGGTTTGGGTCAGATTGCGTAGAAGAGACGAGGTCTGGGAAGCATTCACTCTCAACGTAGACAGCTCCCTGTTTTCATTGTCTCTCAAATGAATCTAGAAATTACACACAAAACAGTTAAGAAAATCTTTACGACACAAGTAGAAATTTATGGGATGAGATTTGGCGAGTGCTTTAGAAACTTCTATGAGTGTTGTAAAGGTGAATTAAAATAGTTGTTTACAATACATTACCTACAACTGTTTTTTATTAGTTTGTAAAACGGTCTTTTCAAAATCTTTCAGTAAACCTTCCTGCAACGGTTAGCAAATCATTAAGTTCACCTTCAAGAAAGGATGAGTGAGTTTCCAGCGGAAATTGTTAGATCAACAATTGAATTGGTCCATTGGTTGTTACCAGCTGAAAATTTGCCCCATTGGTCCGTCACTCTACCACACTAGTGCTGTACGATGTGGTAAAGTGAATCTTTTAAATTCCAATAATTGAACTGAAAAAGCTTGTTTAAAAAACGGTTTTAGGTCAAAATAAGTACCGTTTGTCTACCAAGCCAAAACCTTATAGTTTCAATATTGTATTAGTATTACAACACTCCAACGTCAGATAAAACTTACCAAGTAACCCAGCAAGATTCCGTTGGAATGTTGAGGGGGAGGAGGAGACCAGTGAATGAATGCTGCGGTTGCGTTGAGCCAAGCCATCTCTATGTTCTCAGGGGCTGCGGATGGAGCTGGGGAACAGAAAATGATGTCAATTCAAGGTTGGAATACACTAACATACTTATGAATGAATGCTGCGGTTGCGTTGAGCCAAGCCATCTCTATGTTCTCAGGGGCTGCGGATGGAGCTGGGGAACAGAAAATGATGTCAATTCAAGGTTGGAATACACTAACATACTTATGAATGAATGCTGCGGTTGCGTTGAGCCAAGCCATCTCTATGTTCTCAGGGGCTGCGGATGGAGCTGGGGAACAGAAAATGATGTCAATTCAAGGTTGGAATACACTAACATACTTATGAATGAATGCTGCGGTTGCGTTGAGCCAAGCCATCTCTATGTTCTCAGGGGCTGCGGATGGAGCTGGGGAACAGAAAATGATGTCAATTCAAGGTTGGAATACACTAACATACTTATGAATGAATGCTGCGGTTGCGTTGAGCCAAGCCATCTCTATGTTCTCAGGGGCTGCGGATGGAGCTGGGGAACAGAAAATGATGTCAATTCAAGCCTGGAATACACTAAACATACCTATTTAAAGAAGCTAATATTTTACCCGTGGTAATGTATCATCTCTAGGTGTGTAAATAAATAACGGAAGTTTATTTTACAAACAATTATAACATATAGCCTACCAGTACTTAGATATAAAACTTTAAAACCTGACATTTAATTCAAAACGGCGATACTTGTGTGTTTGTGTTATACATACATTGTGTCAACATAATGATATTTCAGTAACTAATATTTAACAACAATAATATAATGAGACAGAATATGGTTCAGGGATCGCTGAAACCTTCCAGCTAGTACGTCTATATTGCCCATCCAGATATACTCATATTTGGGATAAAATATGCACCTAGTGGTGTCCCCATTTTAAATAATTGATACATTAATGTTTGGTGACCTTAGTTGGAAAGTACGTGACTTTCGGTGACTTCCGTGACCAGTAGACACCCTGTATGATAGCAGGCTGAATAAGTAAAGGTCCATTCTTTCACAGGAAACACCAAAATATCACAATAAACAAACATTATAATTTTTGGGAAACCTGTAAAGTTTTTGGCCTTTTTTGTGCCAGGGTACCCTTTCCTATTCACGTGGCCTACTATCCTAACAGTAATCCTAAAACTGAGGAGAACTGGTTTGCTTACCAGCACATCCACAACAAGTATAGTTTTGGACCATTATCCAAAATGCGTTTCAGTACTTTCCACTGTAAATCAAGTAAAAATACCACCAAAGGACATTTGAAAAATACAGGGTAGGGCAAAAAAACCGACCTATTTTCTTCGGCAAACGCTGTATCTGATGCACTGTTCAGTGACAGGCCGTCTGAGGGTAGTGGGAGTAGGCTCGTTGGATAGCCTATACAATGCCATTTTTTGTAGTCATAGAGCAGTGGTTGTATGAGCTACGTGCGGTTGTTATCTAGTTGTTTTTAAAAAGTAATGAATCAGTCATTGCAACTCAGTAGCAGTTCCCTGCTTTTAATCTATTAGGTTCCGTCATGATTATCTGTATGGATAACACAATTAAACAGATTATTATTCTAATTAATCTGTATGGATGAAAATTAACCTTGAAATTCATGTAACTGAGCAGTTCGGGCAGCCGCTTGTTTTCGGGCGGGCCTGCTAGGACTGTTTTCCATAGCATCACGAACTATATCGAATGTTAGTTGTCTGGCTTCCGATCTGACTTTGGATGGCCTTTCAGCTTCCTTTTCAACGCAGAAGCCGTTGTTCTAAAGTTAGTAACCCACTGCATTATTTTGATACACAACGGAACTTCTCTATGTCGCCTTAATTGAAAGAATGCATAAAACTGCCGATGCCGCTGAGTTGCAATGAATGAATTCAATACTTTTTTAAAACAACTCCATAACAACTGCACGTAGCTCAGGCCACCACTGCTCTATGACTACAAAAAATGGCATTGTATAGGCTATAGTAATAAGTCGGTTTTTTTGCCGCACCCTGTAAAAAACCCTAATTAGCTAATGTCTATAAGTTTACAAAAAAACTCACCATCTTCAAGCGTCTGCACCTCCATTGAGTTGGAAGGCTGGCCGTCGACAGTTTTGAAGAACGGTACCAGGAACACCTGATACTTGGTGTACTTGCGGAGATTAGCCAGAGTGTAGGTGGTGATGTCTGTGTTGAGCACGGTGGCCATGTTGAATTGTTGAGAGCCACCGGAGATGTCTCTGTATCTGATGTACACTCCTTCCACATACTCTCCACCTCCTTGAATCTGCAAATTCATTAGAATTCATGTACTGCAAATTCAAGAGAAAAATAAATTAATAACCAAAAGTCAACATGGTTTTAGAAAATCTCATTCCACCAACTCAGCACTCATCTCTCTAACTGACAATATTTACAGGGCATGGGACAGGTCACAGACCACTGCAGCAATTTGTTGTGACCTGTCAAAGGCTTTTGATTGTGTAGACCATGATGTTCTGTTAAAAAAGCTAGAGGTACATGGAATCAGAGGGTACAGTCTGAAATGGTTTAGATCATATTTAACTAAAAGAATGCAAAAAACATCATTAAGTATAGATAACATGACGTATGAATCAAAATATTGTACTGTAAATTCAGGAGTCCCTCAAGGATCAATTTTAGGCCCAGCTTTGTTTGTAATATATGTTAATGATCTTCCAATGAATATAAAGACAGATATAGTAATGTTTGCAGATGATACTACAGCATTAATTAGAGATAATAGCACAGAAAAAATTAAATTTACAGCAGAGACAATAATAAAAGAATTAGAAAATTGGTTTAAAATAAATGGACTGTTGCTGAATGCAGACAAGACAAATATAATTCACTTCAGAAGTATGCAATATAGAGAGGGTGAAATAAAGGTTACAGTTGGCAATGATGATTTGAAGAATCAGAAGTCTGTGAAATTATTAGGGGTAATATGTGATGAAAATCTGAAGTGGCATGAACATATTGTACCATTATGTAAGAGATTAAATAGCATTTGTTTTAATATGAGTTGCCTTACACACTGTATCAGCATGGAAACAAAACTTATTTTGTACTATGGCTATTTTTACCCGCTAGTGAAATATGGAATAACATTATGGGGCGCAACAAATTTAATAAAAAATGTATTGAAAGTACAAAAGAAATGCCTAAGAGCCATGACCCTCAAACAGCCTGGAAGCTCATGTAAAGAAGTATTTAAAAGTTTAAAAATACTTACAGTACCATGTATCTACATTTTTGAGGTTCTGTGTCATGTAAAAAATAATTTAAATTGGTACTCTATAGAAAAAAATAGCCACAATTACAATACTAGAAACCAGAATTTGCTTATATACCCTCATCATTCTACGACATCTTTAGAAAGAAGTATTCATTACATGGGAATTAAATTGTTCAATAAACTTCCAAATCACTTAAAAAACACAGCAATGAGTCCAGCACAATTTGCTGATAACATTAAGAGTATTTTGATCAGAAAGGCCTATTATAAAGTTGACGATTTTCTAAATGACTCTCAAATGTTATAAGCAGGTCCTGTTACTTCCATAATATTTTATAGGGTAAAAAGTTCCTTCTCCATGTTAATCTTGTTGATTTTTAAATGTTACATATTTTATATATATCGTTTTTGTTGTGAAATTTTAATGAAGACCTCGTTATTGACTAAAATTACATGTTTTATACATTTTTTATGTTTTATTTATAATTAAATTCTATAAATCTTGTTATTTAGTTTTAAGCTTGACGTTATCTTTTTTATTAAACCTTTTGACCAGTCTATTTAAAGAGTTCCTCAAATGCAAATGTTAAAAAACTATTTTATTTATTATTAATAAATACATTGTAAAACATGACATTATATAATATTAGACTATAAGGCCGGGGCCACACGACGCGGATCATCCGCGCGGACGGTCCGTGCGGATGATCCGCGTGGTACGACAACACATTGAATCAAATGAGAGTGGCCACACGGGGCGATCCTAAGCCGCCTGGGCGGATTGTCCGCGCCATGTCGCGGATCGTCCGCGCGATCATAACCCGCGTTGGAGGGGATGACACACGTAGTCTTATGAGAGTGGCCACACGATACGGATTGTCCGCGCGGTTGGAGCTCATTTTCAAGCATTTGTAGTTGTTTTTAGCGAATTTCCCATATAGGGAATAAGCTATTACCGTAGTACTCATGGTAAGACCTGGACCCTGGACCGATTTTATTTTTCATTTTGGGTCCCTAGAGGGCAAAAACACCATCCGTTCAAATTCATATATATATATATGTGTCCGTTAGCACGATAACTCAAGCAAAATGATCCGATTTTGATGAAATTTGGTACAAACGTGTAAACCTACGTGTCGTTTATTCGAACGAGTTCGCGAACCAGCATTCGTGCTTGTTCGTTTTGGTTTATAGGTGTAAAATGTTCGATACAGACAAATACATAGAACTTGTTAATACAAACCATGTCTGTGGGATTTCTCATGTTGTATTTCATGTTGTACATTTCTCATTAGAGTATCTTCCTTTTAGTTATATGCGGTCAAAGCAATTGAAGTAGCTCATCAAACGATGCTATTTACATGCAATAGAAATAAAGCTCCGAACTATGGTTTCGCATGTGCTCGTAAAAGGTTTGGGACACAAATGGTTTATCGGTTGTGAAAGGATGAACCCAATGATTTCGGTTAACCTTAGTCTCTAGCTCACCACACGCTTCTAATTCACAAACTAACATAAGTGTTTCGTCCATGACTACAACAAGAACGAGTGAACTAAACCATGTTATAATTTTTACAGTACGTAGGCTGAGAAACCTCAACCGGAAGCGGTTCATCCGCCCCGTGTGGCCGGGACACCTTTGCGCGGCTTATGATCGCGCGATCATAAGCCGCGCGGACGATCCGCCCCGTGTGGCCCCGGCCTAAGAAGAATGACGAAGCACCTGTGCATTTATCTAAAACCTCTGTACGTTTATGTGCTAATAAACATGATTTGATTTGATTTGATTGGCGGATGAATAAAAGCTTCACAGCAGCAAACCTGCAGACTAAGCAAATTTACATTTGCCTGATCACATTTTAAAGACTGAAGAACCACAGACCAAATAAAACAATTGCACAATACAACCACACAATTGCATACTTTTATGACTGTGAGGTGAGAGATAGACCACAACGTACTTTAGACACTTGAAAATGGACCGACAAGGTCTGAAACTACAATAGGGTACGGTACAACTAGATGTTCGCAAAAGTTACCACAGAGAAGAACCTCCAAACCATATGCCCACTGAAACCCTGGGATTCATTCAGATTCCACACCCTATGCCAACACTGCTGTGTGTGTGTTCTTTCTTTACATTGGTTCTCAATGCACTTCATGTTCGCAGGTCGAAGTGCCAAGGATGTTTCAGGCACAAATCCATGTAGGGGTCTTTTCATGGAAGTGTTTCATCTAGTGAACTATTTGCAAAGGATTTGTACAAGTAAATCTACAGTAAGTTGCCTACCTCCCAGGAGAGTGTGATGGCAGTGCTAGCAGTTGCCCTGACATGGGTGAGAGTCACCACCTTAGCAGCCAGTCTCACCCTAGCCTCCTCCAGCTGATGGTGAGGGACGGCCTCGGAGTCCGCGGCCAGTGTACGAGCCACAGGTGACACATCCGAAGGTACTGACAGACCAGCAGCAGTCTCTGATCTTACTACAAACACGTACGCTGTGTCCGGCTTGAGATCAGTCACCTGCAATTCATAAGGGATAGTTAAGTAAAGTTTAAAATTGTCATACCTTTTCATAATTTTTTAGAAGAGTACTCAGAATAAAAAATTGCTTAATTTTATGGTAAGTTTTTTGGAGGAAATAATACTGAGCGTAGGAATACACATTAAAGAAGAAGTAATGGATACTTAAAGAACTTGAAAACTGTACAACTGTACTAACTCTGCTAGTAGTAAAGACATCTTTCTTTTAACTTCATCATCTTCTAAAGAAACCCCTTGAAGCGGCGAAATATCAAGTTTATTGTGTCCTAAACCTTGTGTGCAACGATCTACCTGGAACTCTATTCATATGAAGGCCAAAGTTAGTTGTGTCATACCTTCTTCTCTAATGTATGATGAAGTCTTTTTAAGGATATTTGTAGGAATGGAAAAATAGTTCATGCTACCACAAGAAACACAATACTTAAACATTATAATATTTCATTGTCATTGACAGCATTTCAACCCAGGTGAAGGTTTTTTGAGAAGTAAGAACACAAACTTTTTAAAAAAATTGTTTAACTCCAGCCATTCTTGATTTTATAGTTAGAAACTAAATTTCATAATAATACTACCGTAGGACAGTGGTTCTAAGATGGATTTTATTGAGACCCACGTACTAAAAACCACAGAGAAGTAAGGTACAGAGGAAAAACTTATGGGACATCCGTGCACTTTCACCTCTGGTATGTTGTGTTGGAGATATACTTGTGATAAGCAAGGAAGAGCCCAAACGGCGAGCACTGTGCTTAAATTCCTATCATACAGGGCACAGGGTCTTCCTCCACCGTGAGTGTTGTAGTACATGAGGGCAAGGGGAGTGTTGTCGGACTTTGCCTTAGTGTACACTTAAGTGTTTGGAGTTCCTCTGTTCCTTACTTCTCTGTAAAAACTATGAAAACAATTTCTTTGTGGTAGATTATACCTACCATAGGATTTTCCTTCTTGACTCTAAACAGCCTACCTCGACAGTGTTGGTATTCAGTCTGTGAGCCGCAACCACCCAGCCTGTCTGCAAGTCAGGGCTGTAGTACTCCAGAGTATAACCCAGCAAGTTGGCATCACTGATAGGCAGCCAGGTGACAGTGAGACTGCTCTGGGTAGAGTTGGTGACACTGGGCCTGGCGGGGGGCTGAGGCAGAGCTGCAGGGGAGGACGAGCGGTGCACATGGGGGCCTCCTACAGTCAGAGCAGCTGTCCATGACGTCTCACCACTAGCAGAGGTAGCTGTACATGTGTACAGTCCAGCGTCTGACGGTTGTAGATCTGCAATGTTATTGGAGACATATTATTACTTACATTTTAGAGTGGTGCATACAAATTTGTTTACATTAGACTCCCTCTTATCCGGACTCCTTGAGACCAAGGCCAGTTTGGATAATGATTTTTCGGGTCAAACCGATGTTATTCATTTCTAAAAAAGAAAACACACTAAGTATATGGGGATTCCCACTAAGGCTAGGTACAGAAAAGTATGCACACAGCTGAGTACTAAACGATGTGCAACTAAACCATAAAAAACCCAAGGTACCTCCCGTGCTGGATTAATGAATACAATTTAATTTTGATTTTAAGGTCGAAGATTTTTTATGTCACTGATTGTTAACACTTATACCGAAACTGGGCCCGTCTCAGGAGCCCAGCGTTAGAGTATTTTAAAGCGGGGTCTCACTGGCCCAGGGTTTCGGTTTGTGTGTTTCTAAGCGGGGTCCATTATTTTTAAATGGGATCTCACAGACCGGAGGTTTCGGTTAGCGTCAGCCTGGGTAGGGTTTCGGTATTAGTGTTAATCTACAAACTAAATCGCTGATGACTAGGAAATACCTCTTGATTAAATGGGACATCTACGGATCCAAATAATGGCTTAAGGAAGTTTCAATGTCAAAACCCTGTCTTGTTTAATTAATTGTTTGTGGAATGTAAATAATAAATCTGAAAATAATAACAAAATCAACAACTTTTATAATTTTTAAAGTTCAAAAATTTTCTTTTTGTAGTTCTATTTGAAATAGGGTTTGTGTTATGTATATAGACCACAAAGCTATATAAAAAAACTTAGTTACAGGTTAAGATTATTTAAAGTTAAGTTGCTATGTAAATAGGCTACAGCTAATGGCATTTGAAAGCTAGAGGATTTTTAAGTTAGTTTGCTGATTGTATACTTTATCCAAAAATAATTTGAATAGGCCTAATAATTTGTTAATAATTTGAAACCAAATCTTAAATTGCACTCTATAACACCTTTTAAGTCCTTTGCATAATTTATTTGTATAATTTAGGCTACCACGTGAATTTTGAAAAAATTCAACCTGTAGTACAGGCATAAATTACATTTAAATTATAGGCTGGAATCTTCAAAAACGAGGTGAAGAGATATTCTTTTGTTTAGGGCAAGACAAGACGAGAAGGAAGTTGAAGAGTTGGCCACACAAGGCCTACAGAGCTCTTCACATTCAAGTGTGTTTACACAGTGCTGTCAACATTCCCACATAAATATTCCCCGCTGGACCTCTTTTATAAACAGCTGTCTCACAAGTCACAACCTATTGGCTTTTGTTTATAATCATCCGTGTCACTTACAGTCACATCAACATAACACATGTCTAAACATTCCATCAGCCACATCCTTTTGTTTGTATTATTTTCTGGGGTTCTGATTCCTATGTTCTTTATGAGAATATGAAATGCCCTTTCCTACAGTATATGCACTCTATTTATATGTACTGTATTTGAACAAGTAATTGGTTAATAATTATTTATCAACATAATCGGGTCACATAATCGATTAAGTACTCGAGAGGTCCCATGGATGCTGATCACTAGAGGCTGGCAAGCAGCCCAGTGTGACCCGTGCTTAACAAAGGTGATTTTATGGCGTCCAATGTCTAACAAAAATAAAACTGAAGCACAAATCCAGGTGTTCCAAATTCAAAATCTAAAATTGTTCGGTATCATAAAAAATTTACGTACAATTCATAGACTTCTCAGTCATCAAAACTCATCTGTTAACTCACCTATAACCTATAACCATATCATGTAATAAGATAACCACTTTGTACCATGAAAAAACCACATCTCGGACTCGTAGTAAGTTATTGCAGGTAAGATGAACGCCTACAAACCTTCAATTTGCAGAGAGCCCGAGTGTTTGATGGACAGCCGGCCAGACGCTGTGTCTACCGGTGAGCCGTTCTTGTACCATTTGATCTGCGGTGGTGGCGACCCTCTCGCCTGACAAACCAGTGTGGCCAACCCTTGCAGAGGCAGTGTTTGGTTGGTAGGCCTGATCTCCATTAGAGGTGGTGGAACGTCCTCCACTGATGTCACCTGATGAAATACAAAAGTGAGTCTTTCCAGAATGTAAATTATATTTCAGGGACTTTCAAATATTTAAAGATACTTCTCCCCCTTAGTATAGGCCTAGTTTTTTTATATTTTAAATGAGTTTAACTATAGTCCGTTAGGCGGTTTGAGGGCAAGTTCCCCTTCACCACTTTTTTCTGTTTAATTTTGCAGCTGATTGACGTTTTGACGAACTATGTTTTAATGGTTGGATCAAGATGAGGAGGGGGTAGATTTCTTCTCCTAAAACCGCCTAAATTTTGTGAACGGAGTATAATTTTTTAATCAATGCTTGGATTGCATTTTGTGGTTTTCATGTTTCATACACCAAACAGACAAAAGAGGCCTTATCTCAATCTCTTCTATGGGTGCTTGCAGATTTTGGCACAATCATGATTTCTGATTCAAAAACATGGCTACCTGTTCTGATTTCTGATTGTCACAAAAATATATACAGCACAAAGTATATTTAAAAAAAATTGAAGGATCATGAGATAAATAAGGCTTAAAAATAAGGTAAATATTAGGTAAATATAAGGATAAATAAGGTTTAACTTTTTTTAAACTTTCAAGAACAATTTTTAAGCTAAAATTTTAACTTGGTTTTCCCTATTTGCAATCAGAAATCCATAACAAACAAGCTAATCCAATTATAGTACGACCAAAATATTAAACTTACTAGTTAAATTTTCAACTTCAGCCTCACCTGCAGGAACGCTCTAGCCGTAGCACTACCAGCCACGCTGAGTGCAGAACACACCAGGAACCCTGCGTCTTCCCGCTGGACCCCTGTGATGGTCAGTGTCCCGTCCTGGTCCACCGCCATCGTCCCGTAGCTGCTCCCAGGGAACATGAGGACCTGGGAGCCCTCCTTGCTCCAGAACACAGATGGTGGGGGGTTACCCTCAGCAGCACACTCCAGACGAGCGACTCCGTGGAGACCGACTACCAGGTCGGTCGGCCTCTTGGTAAACATTGGTGCAGCTGGAAATTTCAAAAAGTTACTAAAACTAGTTTATGATGTTCTGATCTAAGGTTACATAAACAATTTATCTTTGAGAAATAAATACTTAATTGAATATGTATGAAATTAAATTAGTGATCTGTTAATCTTGTAGGTTATATTATTCAAGAAAGTAGCCTACTAAATGTAAAACAACAAAAGCATACAATTGGTCAAATCACCATAAATACTATTGCACCGAGAACTCCCAGCTAATGTAAATTTCAATAAACATTATTTCAACTACCCACAGTAAAGCGGACGCTTACAAACAACACACTCGTCAACTGAGCAATGTGTGTAGTTAAAATTGTTAACATTAATTCTTTAATTCTAAAATATATTAAATACTACTAAACAATATCTCTCTCATTTTTGGTCCATACCCTTTAACAGTAGGTTACTCACAATGGACGATGAGAGAAGCCCTAGCACTAACAGTGCCGACATCATTCTCAGCGTCACAGATGTAGATCCCCTCGTCCTCTGGCACTGTGCTGTCTATCCGCAGACTCTTGTCCTCTAGAATGTGTGCCCGTCCCACAGGCATCCTCCCGTCATCCCGTCGCCACAGAATTCGAGGCTGAGGGTCGCCACCTACGCGACAGTCAAACTGCACGTTCTGTCCTGCAGACGTGGTTACATCTCGTGGTTCTGACAGCATGTACGGTTTCGCTGAAACAGAAACATTCGTCAGATACTCGTTAAATTTTTCAAAGCGCTTTCATTTTTGTCTCAGAAACTTGACACTTACGTCATAACACTGTGCTAGGAGATTTGTAGTGGTTAGGCAAAAATCTACATTATTTTGCCATTTCATATTTGTTTAAAAAAATATCTGTCAATTTTTCAACTAAGATGCTATGCAGTAAATTTGACCATTGAATAGACCTTTTTTAAGATAGAGCTTGAGCATTCTAAACTTTAGAAAACTCTTGACTTCTGTGGTAGATAAGGACCACCCCACAAATAAACCTTATCAAGGGTCACTTGGTAGGCTATTTGAAATAAACTAGGGATCTCTTTTGGTCCATATCATCATCATGTATGTGTAGAAGGAGTTTTGATACATCAATGAAATACTCAATTCTAGACATAGCAAAGTTCTGATATATTCATAGTTACTAGAATAATAATTTTTATTTAAACTTACTGTGTACAGTGAGTGTGGCATTGACACTTTCCTTGGTTCCGACAAGATTCTGCGCAACACACTGATAACGTCCAGCATCACTTTGTCTCACATCCGATATCAGAAGGTTGCCTCCATCCACCACTCGTATCCTTAAAAAAGATAGAAGTATTAGAAAAACTTTTAAAATTAAGTTTTGAGAAATGTGTGTGTCAATAACTATGCCCATATGACAATTTCTGTTAGAAATAAACTGGGTTCTGCTGACGTGGGAACAAATTTGAATTTTCAATTGCAGTTATGAACTAGCGTAGCAAAAAAATAAAAGAAAGTATCGTTTACACCCATCCTAGCTTCGGTATTTATTTTGTAAATCTTTGTGATTAATAGGGAACAAACTTGTAGAAAAGTCTAAATATATTATTTTATACATTGGTCCCAAAACACTGCTCGTCTACTTGTTCCGGTTTAAATCAAATCCCTAACAAGGATACTGTAATTTCTAATTTCTTTCTTGAGTCAACCTATCTACATACCTGTCAGACTTTTCTATCTCCACGACGTTGCCATCCTTCTTCCAGTAGAGTGAAGGCTCGGGTGTTCCTCTGGGTGGACCACACTGAAGAAGCGCCTTCTCCCCCGCAGCAACTCGGGTGTCTTTTGGCTCCACCCGAAACTCGTCCCTCAACACTGTAAACATAGAGGATCAATGAGAAATGTAGCAAAGTTATCTTCAGATTACAAGCAATCAGTTTTTTAGCATCGCTCCAAGAATGAAATACATTACCAACATAATTTCTAACTCCGATTGTCTTGCCTTACTAAGGATGAGTTAGACCTTAATCTACACCAATTTGTAAATATGGTGTTATTTTATATCACCTTTTTTACCAAGAGTTCTTCCAGAATATTTTTTTACTGTAGGCTATGGTGAATATTTAACCTTAAGTTAACTCATTTCCATGGCCGAAAAACCATATGTGTTGAAGGGGCTCCCCTTCCAATACAAAGAACAAGTTGATCCTGTGGTCAAAAATAATTTGATAGCAATAAGTTACCAAAGATAAGACTAGAGCTTGGATCATTTCATTCTCTTACAACATGTTTAAGTTACGACATTGGTAAAATAGTATGCCTCCAATTTACATGTAGGCCTATTAAGAACACCTAAGCAGTTTTAAATAATATGTAGCCTTAGGTCTAACATATTAAATTTGCCTTTAAATTTGGGAATAACTGAGCAACTAACTTAACTTAGTGTCACCAATAAGATTGTTCTACGCTAGTAGCCTAAGTTTAGTTAAGTGTTCTTGGACGAACATTTAGGCTTAAAGTTGAGTGACATTAAAAACTTATTGAAAATAATTAGGCCTACAAAAGAAGTGATGGTAAGCTTATAGATCTAACTAGGGGCTAAGTTAAATTGCTTGAAATACGTTATCTTTTTTTAATGTTGTGATAACTCATCTTAAAGTTTAGGCTAATCTTTAACTCTAATGTAGCCTACAGTCGGTTGACTAATAAAGGGGAAAATGAAATAATAACCACGTGTACAGTTTCAAAAAATCTTTGTATTTAAGATGTAAGTCTACAAGATTGACATTATAAAGAGAATTGTATTAAATAGGCCTAATGAAATCTGTTTTTTAACACCCTAATGACATAAATAAGCTGAGTCAGGTCCATGTTTAGGCTAGTTCTTTGGGTGTGTGGTTTTATATTTAGGCCTGGCTAAAATGTCATTCTGATAGTTTATTTCGTAAGTTGATGGCGCAAAACAAGGTAAGGAACTGCTGCAGCACTGCCGAAGAAAGCGGCAACCATGGCAGTTGTCTTGAATTTGTTGTTTAAGCCAAAAGGTAAATTGTCCCCTGGCATGGTATGGTATCTTGGTTTCACAGAAGACAAGGTAAACCTTCGCAGAAACGTAAGGGAAATCATTGTTCCTTGGGAGAGGTTTTCGCTTTCACAAACTTTACAGTTAGTAGTTCAACAACAGTGAACAATCTAATAAATTGAGTTTTAAAATTCCCAGTAATTGGTGGCGAACACAACTGAACTTATAATACCTCGTTGTTGACACAATGGCACATCACCACAAAATTAAAATAAATCTGAACTCAAGTAAGCTTACTCAAACATAAACTGAAATCACCACAACCCACAACAACACTCACACTCACTCCAACAGGTAAACAAAAACAAACAAACAATGTACACATGATTTTGTTGTATGTTGTATGTTTGCTTTTTTATATTGCCTTTGAAGGCAGGCTTTGATTTATGCTATGAGGCACTGAAAGTCTGTACGTTGTTTGTCTCACTTGCCTCAATAAGAAAGAAGGAAGGCGCACTGGTATAAAAGGAAATATTACAGTACTATAACAGTGTTGACCAGTAATGTTCAATGTACTGACATCTTACGTACGAAAATAGTGAATTTACTTTTGTAACACATTACTTTGCTCTTTGGTACGATAGAGGCGATAAACATATTTACTGAACAAAACTATTTTTGGAAAGTATCATGGCACGTCATGTTCATTTTTTATGAAGTAGTTGAATTTTTCATGGCCGTTAAAATAAAATGACCAATAAATAAATGCAAGTCAGTACCACTGGTTAGCTTGTAATATATTCTAGTTCCAGCGGCGATAAATAGAGAGCAGCACCAACGCATGTCCGCGCCTTGTATTTATATTGTTGGGCCGATATATAATGCGAGGTAAGGTAAGGGCCGGGAGCTGGGCGAGAGTGCTGTTTGTTGCCCACGTTGGTAGCCGGCCTACGCGGGCCTGAGGCCTAGACTGTGCCACACGGCGCCAGACATACACTATAAATAACAATGAGTACGACTTGATCTAATTTATGACCAATGGTTAATGAGGGAAACATATGGTATGCAATAAAACTGCAAAGGAAACAGTTGGTAATCAACGATGGAAATATTAAAATACACACTATTTCAGCAATGAAAGTTTACTAAGCAAAATGCGATTCATGCTGCAGGGGTGCCCATCCCCCCCTAACTCATGACGCACCCCCCCCCCCGATTGAGCAACAACCCCCCCCCATAAAGGATGTATACAACAAATGAGAAGAAACATTATTCCCACACCCAGCACTATTTGTAAAACTATTAAAGAAGTTTTATAATTTTTTTTTTATATTTAAAATTCAAACCCAGTTAATCTATACTATGTATAAATAAAGTTATAGTTTTGTCTGTACGTTGCTCAGAATTATACATATTTTGGGTTATTTTTACTTTTTATACATTGAAGAAGTTGAAACATGTCTTATCTCAATTTATGTCCGTCTGTCACGGCCCAGAAGGCATTTAGGCCTACTCTAAAAAAGAAAACTAGAGTACCGATTATGAATGAAAATGAAATGAATGAATTAAATAATATTTTTTATTTTCCATTAATTATATACATATAAGTAGGCCTACATTGTTTTTTTTCTTTACTTAAATATAATACAGCAATAAAGCAAACATTACTAACTATATAACAAAATAAAAATTATATACTGTAGAAATAAAGCGAACAAAAGTGTAAAAAAAAAACAAATACCTTCTATAACAAAGGAAAAAGTCTACATAGGCAGGGCCTGTGCGTAGACTCGAGTTGCGAATAGGTTAATTTAGATGGGAGGTAAAAAATGTATGGAAAAAAATTAATTCGTGTAATTTAATTTTTTTATATTTGTCTTGCTTGAAACTGAATTTTTAGTGTTCTAGTATTAAATTGACGACAAAAACCTCTTTGTGTGATTCTAATGGTTTAATTGTATCGACAGGATTGGCGAGAGTATCCTTATAGCCATTAAAATATGGCCTCACTATTTTGGAAATAAAATAACGGACGATCGAAAACCCAATTTTGTGTGATTTTTCTAGTTTATTTTCTCCATGTTTACTACATACGTCATTATTTATGAAATACTAATACTGCAATCTGTTAAGAGAAGACGTCACATATGAAATTACGAACAGCTGTTTTGATTAAGATTCCTTTTTCTACATGTCACTGGATATGATTACATAAAATGTTGTTTACGAATACTGTGTAGGCCCTAACCATTTACGATCACGTTTGTAAGCAAATCCAAAACCAAGTGAGATTAATAACCGTGTGGCTTTGGCTTACATAACGGGTTTGATTTATCATGGGTACTAATATGTAACTGTAAATTAAATTAAATAACTAGCCATCATCCAGGTTAGGAACCGGAGATTCTGTGTTTCAAGTTGTACTTGAATTTTGATTACCGGGAAAAGAGCGTGAATCAGTGTTGTACAGGACTGGAAAACTTATCTTTCTATATAAATAAAATTACAGTTTTATAAGTCACCTCAATTTAAGGAATTTTTTATTGCCAGAATATCCATATAGCGTTCGTAACCTCTGCTTAACGAATTGTCAGCGTCTTTCTCTTGATATAACGATCCCCTCTCCCTCCCTTTGGAAACATCACAGCTCCTTTGATGAAAATGAAATGGAAACAACGCTTGCGCCAACAATCGTCTGCTGCTGTTTTACACTTCTGTCTGCTGTGCGCTATGTTACAACAGATTTCAGATACAACAGCTGGGGAATGATGACGATATAATGCTTAGTAAACTGTGATTAGTAATGGTAACTTTAGTAAGAAGGCTGTGATTGGCCAATGAGTAGGCCAAAATATGGCGACTTGTTGAATTTGCGTATGAATTGAAGAGAAACCTATTAAAGAACAGAAGAACAAAGACAAAGAATAACAAGATTGTTCTCGTTACATTCTTTTTTAAGAGTGTTTTAATTATCTCTAAATATAATTTTACACTTTTTTATTAGGCTACTTATCTATCAATTCCTATGCTGTGATACAGCACCTATCGGTAGCCTACCTGTCTATCATGAGTAGTACCTTATAACAGGTCCCTTAAATAATAACGTTATTTATAGCAATGCAGTGTTTGGGTAGTTATTAGTTGAGTTTGATTTAGCTATAATTTTAAACGTTGCCATTTGTACAACTGGACCAAGATAAATGATTTGAAATTTACAATAAAATTGTTATTGCACAATAATAATGATTGTGCAATATTGAATTTCGTTTATAAGAATGCAAATCGTATCGTTAATGGCTGTTTACAGCGTTTTAATGGGTTTGTCATCTGTTTTTATACTACATTGGATTAACCGTATTTTTCATTACTCCCCCTCCCTATTAACTCAGGTAATCGAGTATCTACACAATAGTGTAGAGTATTGTAGCAGATGCTACTTACGCATCTGATGATACGATCTTATGATCTGTTGATCGTATTTTAACAAGCTTTATGTCAACAAAGTGTTCTGTGCTAAGTCGTGGTGTAGCTGGACGTGTCTGTACCACGCGTTATCTTTTATCTATCACAGCAGTTGAGCCAGCCCGTGCGCTCCCTCTTAGATCTCACGTCTTGCTAATCTTGAATAATAACTTTCTACACGAATCCTAAACTATCCTAAAATCCTATTTTAACTAATTAAATTCAATAATATAACTATTGTCATTAATTAATCGACTTTCTATCTGGCGACTTCGTAATATATTTTGGACTGTCGTCATGTTGAACACTGTTGCAATTAGCTTTAGCCACCCCCCCCCCATTTGAATTTTTTGAGCCCCCCCCCAAGAATTTCAATGACGCAGTCTGCGTC